GGGAAAAGAAATTAATCACAGAAATAACAGTGTCCTGAGTCTGTTACAGCTTTAAAGCACTGAATACTCAAGAGCTTACTGCTTTGGTTTAGTAACTGCTTTAAGTAAAAAGGCTTTGATAAACTAACTGTACATGCCCAGCATCAAGCAGCAGACAGATCAAAATGAATCTGGTTGACTGAGTTATGATTGCAAATGATGGCTGTGTCTGCTGGATGATGTATTTGCCGCATTGTATTTGATGTATTGATTTTATTTTAATGTGTTTACAGCCTCCTTATCTATTCCTGAAAAAAACAAAGCTAATGTAGAAAACTGTATGTGTAAGAGCAACAAATAATGACTGGCACTTAATTATAAAAGTTAATTTTTTTTCAATAGTTTAAAATGAGTCTCCTTGCCAATGAAAAGCTTATGGTTATGTTTTATTAGAGGTGAGGTATCTCACATTTTCTATTTCTCATATTAAGAGACTGAGGAAAGGCATAAAAACCTTTCCTTGTCAAGAAAAAAAAAAGACAGAAAAGAGAAAACTGACCTCGGATTCTTGTGGTTATCAGTAGTTCATTATTGAATTTAAGTGCCCTTTGCTCTACTGTAAGAAAAAAAATAATTGGAAAGCAGTCGAAAGGTTAAAACCTATTTGCTTTTCCCCTCTTCCAGTTTAAGGTTTTCAAACTGTTTATCTTCTGAGAAAATACAAAAATGAGGCTTTATTTATCCCATTACGTAATTTCTTTAATGAGCATCTGTATTCGACATGAAAAGCTTGCTTACATACACTGCAGCTGAATGTCTGTAAAACATCAACCATAACTAACTCAACACCACTAAAAATCACACTGAATGCTGAACAGGAGTCATAATGTAAATACCAGATACGGAAACAACCGCCATCAATATAATGTGATTACTGGTCCACTCATAAACCAACCTCTCAAAATATGGCTTTTAATGGGATGATATCATATAAGTGATGGTTAAAAACTGGCAATATGGTGTGAAGAAGGCAGCCACAGGAAACATTTATGATTCCTGACGTGGTCGAGGCTAAATAAGAAGCCAGCTCAACACACTAATGTAAGCTGAAACACAGCAACTCACTTCCTGAGCAGTGCTAGTGAAATGAGAAAAACTCTTGTTAGCTTCACTGCCAGCCAACATTTCAAGCAGACATCGAGTCTACTGAGGGCAAAATGGAAAATGATGTACAATTTTGTTATTACACTGTATGTAATTATGGCAATTTTAGTTGTAACTGAATGTAAACATCCTTTTAGGAGAGAACAGTCAAGAAGTTTACTTGCAGAAATGGGACATGGACTGGTACTTCTTTACTTCTACTAAATTTTGAGCACTCAAAAGTCTCATTTGCGCTATCACACAAACATTCATACAGTGCTTTTATCTATACCTAATGGAGAAGAGGAGGTGAAGACAAGATCTAAGTGCTTTCAGGATTGCCATCTTGGTGTTTTAAAACCAGATGCGTCGAGCGAGGGTGGATTTGGCTAAGAAACACAGAGAGCATGCGTGTCCATATGGTAGTAACTTCAAAATCACAAGGTAGGGCCTCTTTAAAGCTCAGCCTGCTTGATCATTCTTTTTGACTGCAGTTTATAAAATTACCTCATGATGTTTTAAACAGCACCTGAAACTATTAACTGAGATGACAAAGGAAGGAAGCTGAGGGTGATTAGAAGATATGCTTCACTTTTCCAACCTGTAAGCCATGTCCACCTTTACATAAGTCTACACCACTACATGGCCAGTGCTAAATCACAGAGAGACAAAGTAACTTCAGTTAATGAAGAAAGTTGTACAAAGGCTCAAACATTTTTTCTCCCCGGTGCTGGTTTTTGCCAATCAAGTATTCAACACCAATTCAAATACCAAAGAAACTAAAGAACAAACCGTCTGCCTGCAGCTTTATTACACACACATCTTATCTTAAAGACCTCATAGCACTTGTGGTTTCAGACCTCCCTTCTGTGGAACCAGCTCCCAATTTGGACTTGAGAAACATCCTCTCCCAAAGCTGCTGGGGGCTTTCCAGGATACTCTGAGTGTCTCTTCTTCACTCACCTTTTTTCATGTGTTTATACCCCATTCTGCATTTAATCA